TTCAATATTAAAAGTAATCGCATTGTGGTCACTATTACCCAATGACTCCCCAATTACAATATCCTCGATTAGCTCTGCATTATTAGTGATAATTAGATCTAAGATGGCATTTTTTCTGGTAGGAGTCTCCACCATCTGGTCCATGAAATTGTCGCGCAACATGTTTAGAAATCGCCCCGCCTTCGACGAACCCGAAGTTCCATTGGCCCAATTGATGTCTGGGTAATTGAAGTCCCCCATCACGACTACATTGCCCTCTCTCCCAGCTATTCCTATCTGGGAGTGAATTCAAATACTGATTGGTTTGTGGTGATTGCCGAGTAAATGCATTTCCTATTTTTTTTCTACACAGAAAGGACAGAATTATTTTGTATCAACTCTTACACCCTACTCTTCGGGAGTCCACAGAAGAATGTTGTGGCTATGCCTTTCCTCACAATTGATGACAATGACATGCTGTGATAGAGGAATAGAGCCACAAAGTTCAAAATGTTTGGATTTTGCCATTGGCATGACTGCTAGAGACAAAGAAACACACAAAACAGGCAGATTCACATCTATGCTTTCTAGTAAAGTGTGATAAAATGTACATTACCGCCACACATGTATACGAATCAGTGTTGGCCTGTGGTGTAATTAATTTTAAATGGCAAACAGACAGTGCACCACATTACATATGTAATTTGAAATGTACCACAATGCACAGATAACCATATTGCAGTACGCCATACTGGAAAAAATGCCGCTAGTGCATGGTAAAAATACAGTCTAACATAATGAGTGTAGTGTACAAAAACCATGGCTTCTATGGAGTAGGGCTTAGGGACCAACACAACAGAACAACCAGACATTATAGTGAAGTAGGCTACAAGGAGCCAACCCCCCGCCCCCCACCACACTTAGTTATTGAGAAACACAGTATCCTCTTAAAGCAGGAGGTATCTGCAGTTCTCACATACATTACATATCCAAAAAATAAGGGAAGAGATCCTAATTTTTTTTGATCTTTGATGGAAGTAGCCCACCTCGTCATAATGTGTCAGATTTATTAGGATAATAGTATAAATGTTGTTGGGGTCTCAATCTATTTAAAAAAATGGCAATTACAATGACAGAGATCTAGTACACTTATAGCTGCTATTAATATTTTCTAAATGAATGCTTGTTCAGACTGGGAAGAGTGAAAGCACAAAACTTACCTTTCTTCCGATGCTTTCGTTTGACCCCTTGACAACTTTTCATTGAGACTCCTTATCTTAGCTTTCTTTTCATTGAGCACACAGGTAAATCGAGTATAGAGATCTTGCTCTAATTCTTCTTTACTGCTCACAAACTTCTCCATCCTGGGAAGGAAAAAATGCTTTGTATTCATTGAATCTCTTTTTATTACAGATAATTCATTATGAATCTGCTTGGCAGAAATAAAAAAAAAAACAACACAAAATTGTGATTTTCTATTTTTTTCTTTTGATTTATTTATTCAAATTTCAATTCAAGGTGAACAGAGCAGAGACAGTATTCAGAACAGTGTGCCAAATGATAAAAGAGTGACAGTATCTCCATCAAGTTAGCACAGTCAGCATTAGGAAAAAACTACTGACAAGCAGGGCCCTCCAAACCATCTTGTCTTGAATTGTATTCTAACTGTAATATATATGTGCTATATACATTCTGTATTTGACATACAGCAGACATATCCAAGACCTACATTCAGTTCCCAATACACCCATAAGCAGTTCTACAAATGGAGATTTACGTTTGTTCACACACAGCATAGAAAGAGTATCCAGAGCAAAGAGGAAAGATAGTGACCAGAAGTGGAGCAGATGGAAGGGGGTGCCACTTCACCACCTCAGACAAGGCACAGCAGACCACAAGGCACGAGGTCTAAGATACAAAAGAGCCTAAGGAACCTGAACAGTGACTTTATAAATTCATTTTTTGTTAACATAAATGTTAAGCATAACTCCAGACAAAATGTTTCATTTCCTTTAGGTTAGTTTTCATACTGCCATCTGTATCCCTATTGTTAACGTGACACTAAAGTCAGGAGTTTTATCTTGAAAAAGCATTCAAGTACCTTTACTAATAACATAAATGTAACTTATTTGTGTATCACTCAGCTGTAAATGCTCACATAATCTCTGAATTGGTGCTGACACTGTCCTTCCTTCTGGCGGGGGGCTACTTTTGTTCCCCATGGTCCCTGTGTGGTAAAGTAGCCACTGCTCCAAACTCACTCCCGTGATAGAATATAACTTCAGTAAAAATTAGTAAACCAAATGTGAGATTGTAGTCTATCACAGGAGTGATCTTGGAGTGGTGGCTACGTTGCAACACACAGGGAACAAAAGTAGTGATACACAAATCTACTTCTTTTTTAATAGTTATGGTACTTGAGTGCATTTTTAAGATGTAACTTCTGAGTTTAGTGTCACTTTAAGATTTGCCCTCACTTCCTTTAAAGGAGAACTATGAGGTGAGTGATTTTCACTCAACCTCATAGTTCAAACCGACGTGTTACAATGAAACTGTCACACATCGGCTCAATAGATCGGGAAGTGAGCGAACACATACCATCGATCGCTCACTTCTCGATCATGTCCCTTCAGAGAGCTGTGACTGTCACTCACCGCTCCCTGCAGGGATTCCCCTCCCCCCTCCGATCCTCCACTGCTGACTGGCGGAACGGACGGGGGAGGGGCCGGTTAATCACGCAGCTGGGTGGATCTCGACAGCAATGTCAGGATCCGTCCCGGCTGCGTCGGTCTCAGTATACCGCAAGCTGTAGCCCGCTATATACTGAGCTTTGGGTCAGGGGAGGATGCTAGTTTATGTCCTCCCGTGACCCTTAGAGAACTATGGGGAAAAACACTTACCCCATAGTTCTCCTTTAAATAAAATACGTTATGGAAAGTCTTTTCAAAAGGGAAAAAGGACAAAAACAAAAACAGATTTTTAGCAAGAAGGGAAGAACATCTGACAATGTTTTTACTGTCTGTACCTTTCTGTCCTGGAGACAGCTGCTCCCTCCATTTTGTGCATGAGTATCATATGGACAGAAAATGATGGAAAGTCCCCACCAATGTGGTCTCAGACAGATAAAATCCTGATAGACATTTTAACTCTTCTCCATACTAATCAAAAACTAAGGTAACAAAATTAACTTGACGCTTTAAGAGGTTTTTTTTTCTAGCCGATAAATGTTTGGCTTTTTCATTTCCATACTTTGGAAAAATGTGTGTGATTATACAGAAAAAAATGACATGGTACATTATGTGAAAAAACATTACTATCACAATGCTTCTCTCTTACACTAGGCTAGACATCAGTGTAATCCACAACCCTCACACATTTAAGAATGAAGGCAGTCTTCTTTTTAGTATAATAAGGAGGGGTTGAATGGGGAAACTACAGAAGTTACCTCAAGAGATTATTAGATGCGCAAAAAACTTTATGCTCTGTTCACCCTGTAATATGCACGTGCATTTATGACTATTTACAGTCAGTGCTTAAAGTTACACTAAACTCAGGAGTTACATTTTAAAAATGCATTGAAGTACCTTTACTATTAACAAAAATGTATCTTATTTGTGTATCACTCAGCTGTAGATCCTCAAGTCATCTCTGAATTGGTGCTGACACCCTCCTTCCTTCTGGAGGGTGGCTACTTTTGTTCTCCATGGTCCCTGTGTGTGTTGTAACGTAGTCATTACTCCAAGCTCAGATTGATGGACTACAATCTTACATTTAGTTTACTAATTTGTATTGAGATTGTAGTCCATGACGAGAGCACACTTGGAGTGGTGGCTACAGTGAAGAATATTACAATAAACTTGTCTCAACATAGAAAAATACCCCACTATTAAAAGAAAAATAAACATACTGTTCTTGCATGTCAACCCAGTCACGCTGCAACCTTTCATTTTCTTTTTGAAGATGTTCATTTTTACTATGTAATTCTGTTGTAGTGGTTAGGCAATAGTTAATTAAATCTTTGATGATTTCAGCTGGTTCTTTCACATTCTTGAGTTGCAGTGATCCAAGTTTAAACTGAAAAATGCAAAAAAAAATAAAAAAATAAACATTTTACTACCAATCAGTGACAATCAGGAGATAACAAAAAACATTAAACATTTCACATAAAGCAAATGCCCCACAAATGCCCCATATAATGATTGTACAGCGTTGCGGAATATGTTGGCACTATATAAGTAATAGTAATGCTATGATACAGTATATATATCAATGAGGGCAAAAGAACATTTGTTATTTCAAACCTTCTGCTGAAATACACCGAAGGAAAAGACAACATAGAAACCAAACATACAGATCTAAGTGCAGCAGAAAAGTAATCATTTATGAAAGGTAAAAAGCAATGCACTTAAATAATATTTAAAAAATGTCACCAGTCACACATCAAATGGAAGTCCGGACTGAGAAGCTGGTCCGAGATTGTACTTGGAAGGCACTACGTGGAGGGAGCAGAGTCCATTTTAGAAAAGTTCCAGATAACCTGTACTGTGAGACACAGATCTGGTTCGATGGCACAGCAGAGCTGTAGCTGGTTCTCAAGCCTTGAGAAAGAAGTACCTAGCAGCTCTGGCTCCGCACTGCTCAGCCATCGGATCAGATCTGGACTGGACTCTGCTCCCTCCACGTAGGGCCTTCCATACTGAGAGCAATCTCAAACCAGCAGCTCAGACTGGACTTCCATTTCATGTGTGACAGGGGACATTTTTTAAATATTATGTAAGTGAATTACTTTCTACCTTATTAAACGGTTACTTTCTACTGCACTTAGAACTGTGCGTCAGGTTGCTATGTTGTCTTTACAGTACTGTACATGGATGTTTCCTTATCCAACTAAATGGGCAGCAGGATCAGTGCAGCCATCACCTCTGGATTAACTGTCATTAGAGCTGGAGCTCCCTCAAGACTATTCATATACAGCCCACAAGCAATTGATCTAGTTTTGCAAGTTGGTGACTTCTGTTTTATTTTGAATTGAACACAGGAAAAGACACCTCCATTTATTACAAAGGAAGTAAAAACAATATTGGTCATTGGTTCTTGGCACCACCGTTTTTAAAGAGAAAGTATTCACTCTGGAATGGCAAATTTACTGCACACGGAAAAACGGCATCTTTAAACAGTATACACCATTTTGCACGTGATGGAATAAAAAAGTCCTAATATAGCAATGCAAGATATAAAGACATATGCATATAAATAATGATTATTGTTGTTGTTTTATTACTGTTCTTCTAGCTAGCTAGTGATATATTAATGACAAACTGTGAATGGTCCCCATAGCAATCAACCAGATGTAGCCTTTTGTGTTGTATCCATAGTTCCTTGTACAGTCAAAATATGGGTGAAAGGGAAAACACTATGAACTGCAAGGATAAACCCAATGTGTAAATCAGATATTCTGTCACAGGGATGATTTCTGGAATAATTTGGGTGAGGTAACCATATATTTTACTGTGCAGCAACTCTGATCTACAAGTACATATTTCTAGCCAGTGTCATTAATCCTTCAACATCTCATGTGTAACGGGATTATGTAACAGTGTCATAGCTTTTCAATAATATAGCCAGGAAATGTCATTCTTTGATGGCTCTTCATATTTCACTAAAATAATTCATTAATGTTATGTCAGCCTGAACTTTCAGTTTCATAACTAGGAAATCTCTAAGTATATGATTAACAGTATCACGTGTGCCTTATCTGGTTCTTTTATATGCAATTAAGTAGACTCAAAATCACTATATTTGCTGTATCAGCTTGAGAATATTCTATAGAAATAGAATAGGAAATAGGTAAAATGCCTGCGTGTTCTTAGTATGCAGATTACATATTTATCATTTTCTATTTAGAATGCTGATCATTAGCTGGTATAAATAACACTTCTTCAGGTCAGAAGCAGAGCAAAATTGGCTCCTGTCAAAGGACCTGCATCTGTGAATGGGTAATGTGGCTGTGTGGGTGAAACCACAGACAGCCGTGCCAAATTAGAAAATATACACCAGCCTGTTGGGAGAATCCCCCTGAATAGTGGTGTAACATAAAACATGTTCTGAAAAGTAAACTTAGCCTTTATTGAACATGACAGTGAGGGATCTAGTATTTTCAGAAAGAGAGGTCAGTAATAGCAGCCTCCATACCTTCTTATTACAGGTTTCCTTTAAACAGTACAATGTTAACATTAAGACCAATCACAAAAGCACACCAATCTGAATGCCTGCAAATTAACCCAATTAAATGAACAGCACATCTAAATGAAAACTAGAAGTAAAGGTCATGTGGCCATGATAGCTAATCAAGATTCAAAAAATGGGCGTCAATGTACTGTCCAATTTAAGGTATGTGTAAAGTCATTAAAACAAATGCAAACAATTGTTTAGCTACAACAACATTCTTAAAAAAAAAAAAAAATTAAAAGCTTTTATTCCACAGTCATGTGATTTCAAAACCCCCCTTTCTATTCCTCTTCCCCATTGTGTGGGGTGTGTCTCAACTCTCTGCTGTTGGATTTTTGACTGCATAGCTCCTGCTCGGAGACACTGTCAATCTTCAAAGCAGGGCTGGGAAGGGGAAGGTGAGGCGTACTTTGGGAGTACAACCATGCCATTGCCATGAGTCAGCACTGCATCCTGTACCTCCAAGCAGCAAGCCCAGGGACGCAAACTGACCAGGCCAGTGTGGACCTGCTTCCAAGCTTGGCGTGGTCAGATTAAAGAAGGGCAAATGGAAGGATCACGTGGCAATTTATAGCAAATTAATGAGAATTAAAAAAAAGGCAAGCTTTACAAGAATCTATGTTAATACACACATGCATCTATTTAATATCTTTAATATCAACTTCAACATATACTTAAAATTATGCTTATACAGTATATTAACTTTATAGAAATAAAATCTTGATTAAACAAGTCCAAGTGATTTCACAATGTTAAAAATATATTACTAAAGATGCCGTATCGTAAGCAATATTATAAAATAAATGCATTAAATGGTTCACTAACTAATACCATGCTGTCAATCTTGGGTGAAATTTACCACTAACACTGTACAGCCTTATCAAAAAGATGACCACTTGTTGGAGGAGGAAACCATTTTTTAACACCCACATGGCACACTCATTGAAGATGGATAAAAAGTTCATGCCACACGCTGGGTTAAGTCAAATTAGCTGTGTAAATACATGAGGACAGATAAGTAGTTGTTTCTAATCTCTCAAATTAAGTGAAGGATTAAATGCCTAATAAGTCCAGACATGTCAGATTTGTGAATGAGTGAGAGTGGGAAGTGAAGTGTTTTTTGGTGATTACATGGACTAATGGTGACACATCATTGGGGGGATGTAGACTGGCAGGACCCAGGATCATATCCACAGTAATCCCATTAGGAGGTCAGACGCCTGCTGCACTGTGTTGAGATTTCCTTGACAATGTGCCAGAAGTAATGGATAGACATCAATTAAAGAGAAAAAAAATAATAAAACCTCCATTTAATTTACACTGTTTCAAATGCAGGATCCTCAATTATGAAAAAAGGAACTTAGAGTATCAAAGTAAATGAAGGTTTTCCCTAAAAGCTGGTAGAGTAAGCAGTACATACTTACCTTCTGTGTATTCCCCAACCCCCTGCAAAGTTGTTGTGCACGTTTAGACCCAGCACTAGGTTTGGAGCCTAATCAGGGCTAATAACCCCCCTTCCCCATGTAGAAGTGCCTAAGCCGAGTAATTGGTTGCTTAACCACTAAGGGTGGCATCGTGGGGTGAAAAGGGAAAAAGGCATATACTACTCTATTTCTATACGCGCAAGGTTCTTCTCCAACTCTGTTGGCAAACAGCAGAACGATTATGCAAAAGGAATTTTTATTTATTCTGCATACCTGCATATTTCATTGCACTAAGGTAAACATATTACCGTGCCATGGATTGACTATGCACAGGATGACTGTTGTATAACCTTGAAATAAAATGATCCTTTATAGGAACCATTCCATATCCTCATTGGGTTCAGACCTACAAGCACTTCAAACAATGACAGAGCTATTTCCCCCTGTGGTGGATAAGGATTGAGCCATGTTAATACACAAACAAATAGAGGCCTTTCATCTATTTGGAAACCCTTTTAAATGAATCTTATTAAGCTGAAAACTAAAAGTCTATTTATAATTGCGGTCATCTTCAGGGCTTAAAAGGGACGCATAGAAATATTTAATTCATGTTTTTAAGATTTAATCACAGGTAAGCCTTTTATTTACCAAACAAAAAATGCTCACAGTAAAAGCTTTAGTAGAAAATACAAATGGACTTTTACTTCAGGTTCTACTTTCAAATAAATATTTAGAGGTTTAACAAGGATAATGTGTAATAATGAGGCGCACTGGCATGGCCATAAAGAAAAACTAAACAAGTTACTAGAAAACATATGATTACAGCAGTACAAGAGCACTCATTGTGTTCTCAAATAAGAACATCTTGTGCAGAAGAAAATAAAATGTCTTCATCCATAGAAGAAGAAAAAAATGAAATTAAGAAAGCACCTCCCTTTGTAATACATATGTAGAGTAGGCAGCTACCTGTCTCCTGCTGAATTTTTGATGTTGTTTTGCATTCCCTGTGGTCAGTAAGGTTTTGTGGTCAATGTAATTTAACGAACCGACATCCCTAAAACTGGTATTTTAGTTTAGGAAGATGCAGACTAAAATAATTTACCAGACGTTTACATTTCTGTAGGACTTCACCAACTAGATCTCTTAATTTGAGTTCCTAGCCCCACTTACCTATCTATCCATCACCAAGGGGTCTCAAGCGCCCTCTTTTTGCCTAGTCCTTAGATCTGCTGATTGATTCCTGCTGAAGGTTTAAGCATTTCAGTTGTATTACCTTTCATCTGTCCATAGCAGCAAGATTGTTTATATAACATATAAAAATACAAAACTCCCAGGATGCTCAAGAAAGAAGTTGAAACAATATGAAGGCACCTTGAAGTTCCTGATTTTGCATGCATGTGGCTGCTTACTACCCTTAAATTT